AGGAAGGGAGGAAGGAAGGGAGGAAGGAAGGAAGGGAGGAAGGAAGGAAGGAAGGAAAGAGGGGAAGGAAGAAAGGAAGGAAGGAAGGAAGAATTCAATTAAACAACCTAATGATGCATAATAAGGACTTAGAAAAGCAATAGCAAACCAAACCCAAAATCCATAGAAGGAAAGAAATTACAAAGATCAGAGCAGAAAAAAATAAAATAGAGACTTAAAAGATCAATGAAACAAAGAGGTGTTTCTTTGAAAAGATAAACAGCATTGATAAATCTTTAGCTAGACTAGCCAGGAAAAAAGAGAGAAGACCCAAATAAATAAAATTTGAAGCAAAAAGGGAAACATTGTAAGAAATACTACAAAAATAAAAATGATACTTAAAGATTATTTTGAAAAAATCATATGCTAGCAAATTGAAAAATCTAGAAGGAATGGACAAATTTCTGGACACATATGATTAAGAACATAAATAAAGAATATAAAAGCTTGTTAAACAAATAATGGTGATGAGTAATAGAAAGTCTCTCAACAAAGAAAATCCCAGAACCAAATGGCTTCACTGATGAATTTTATCCAAATTTTGAAGAAGAACCAATGTCAGTTCTTCTCAAACTATTCCATAGAATTGAAAGGGAAGAAAAAAAAAAAGAAAGGGAAGAAATCATCCTATAAGGCCTGAAGTGCCCTCTTACCAAAACCCAACAAGGACACAACAACAACGGCAAAAACCAATATCCCTGATGCAAAAACTCCCAACAAAAAAATACTAATAAAACAAATTCAACAGCATATAAAAAATCACCATATACCACCATCAAGGTGGTTCAGTCCAACAATGCAAGCGTTGTTTGATGTATGCAAATAACAAACATAATACATTAAATCAACATGATGAAGAAATACATAAAAATTATAGGATCATCTCATTGGATGCAGAAAAAGCATTTGATAAGATTTGACATCCCTCCATGATCAAACTTCTGAATAAAGTAGGTATAAAAGGATCATTCCTCATCATAATACTGTCTACATGTGACAAACTCCCAACTAAAATCACACTGAATGGGAAAAGGTGAAAGCATTTCCTCTAAGATTAAATAAGAGGACAAGTTACTACTCTCATCACTTGTATTCAATATACTGCTAGAAGTTTTAGCTAGAGCAATTAGGTAAGAGAGAGAAATAAAGAGCATAACAATAAGAAGGAAGTAAAATTATCCCTGTTTGTAGATAAGATGATTCTATACATAGAAAAAACCCAAAGACTCCACTAAAGGAGCTTAAGAACCAATAAATTGAATATAGTAGTGAGATATAAAATCAACATACAAAAATTAGTAGCTTTTTATATGCCAATAATGAATTTGCTGAGAAATAAATCCTGAACATAATCCAAGCCACAATAGCCAAGCAAAAATAAAAAACCCCAGGCTGGGGCTGTAGCTCAGTGATAGAGTGCTTGCCTAGCATGCGTGAGGCACTGGGTTCAGTCGATCCTCAGCACCACATAAAAATAAACAAGTAAAATAAAGGCATTCTGTCCATCTACAACTACAAAAATAAATAAATAAATAAAATAAAAATAAAAAATAAAAAAACCCTGGGATAGACTTAACTAAGGGAGCAAAAAAGCTCTATAATTAAATGTAAAACACTGACAAAGGAAATTAAAGAAAACACTGAAAGATGGGAAAACTCCCATGTTCTTGGATTAGAAGAATTAATATCATTAAAATGTCCATACTATCCAAAGTGGTCTACAGATCCAATGCAGTAAAAATACAAATGACATTCTTTTTACAACTAGACAAAGCAATCATAAAATTCATTTGGAAGGACAAAAGATCCTAAACACATAAAACAATCTTGAGCAAAAATAACAAAGCTAGATGCATCACAATACATGACTTTAGTTTGCTACAGAGATATTGTCAACAAAATAGCGTGGTAGAGCCATAAAAATAGACATATATACCCTTGGCTCATGGTGGAGATACCAGAAACAAACCCATGCATCTACAACCAATTCTTGTCAAAGATGCCAAAAACATACATTAGAAAAAGGTAGCCTCTTCAACCAATGTGCCAGAAAACAAGATATCTACATGCAGAATATGGAAACTTGCCCCCTATCTTTTACCCTATAAAAAAATCAATACAAAATGGATAAAAGACCTAAATGTAAGACTTGAAACTGAGACTACAAGAAGAAAAGAGGGGAAAGACTTCAAGACATTGATACAGACAATGATTTTAGAACTAGACAAAGCAATCCTAAAATTCATTTGGAAGGACAAAAAAATCCTAAACAGATAAAACAATTTTGAGCAAAAAGAACAAAACTAGATGCTTTGTTAGGACCACTAAAGCACAGAAAACCAAAGCAAAAATTGACAAATGGGGTGACATAAAACTAAAAACCTTCTGCACAGCAAAGAAAACAATCAACAGAGAAAAGAGAACCTACAAAATGGGAGAAAATGTTTGCCACCTATTCATCTGACAAAGGGTTAATATCCAGAATATTTTTAAAAACTCAGAAAAACTTAACAATAAAAATAAGTATTCAATTAAAAAATGGACAAATGGTCTGAGTAGATACTTCTCAAAAAAATAAATACATTAAAAATTTTAAATTAAAAAGTACAAATGGACAATAAATATGAACAGATGCTCATTAAGCCATCGGGGAAATGCAAATCAAAACTACAAGATACCACCTCACCCGAGTTAGAATATTCATTACAAAAATAAATAAATAACAAAAAATAACATGGTGAAGGAGATGTGGAAAAGAAGGAACTCTTATATACTGTTGGTAGAAGTGTAAATTAATATAGCCATTATGGAGAACAGTAAGGAAGTTCCTGAAAAAAATAAAAAAATAGAACTACATGATAAAGCTATCCCACTCCTCAATATATGTCCAAAGGAAATGAAATCGGCACACAAAGAGAAACCAGTATTCCCATGTTTATTGTAGCACTGTTCACAATAGTTCAGATATGGAATCAATCCAAGTCTCAGAAACAGATGAATAAATAAAACATATGTGATACACACACACACACACACACACACACACACACACACACACAGGAATAGAATATAGCCATAAAGAAGAATGAAATCTGGGCTGGGGATGTGGCTCAAGCGGTAGCGCGCTTGCCTGGCATGCATGTGGCCTGGGGTTCGATTCTCAGCACCACATACAAACAAAGATGTTGTGTCCGCCGATAACTAAAAAATAAATATTAAAATTCTCTCTCTCTCTCTTAAAAAAAAAAAAAAAAAGAAGAATGAAATCCTGTCACTTGCAGCAAAATGGATGGAACTGGAGGACATTATGTTAAGTGAAATAAGCTAGACCCAGACAAGCTCCGAATGTTCTCTCTCAGATATGGAAACAACAACCAAAAAAAGTGAACTTGAAAAAAAAATAGTAATTTCTCGGAACTGGAAAAAGGAAAGGTGTGGGGTGGGGAAGATGGAATGATCAATGCACACTTTATGCATATATGGAAATATCACACTGAACCCCATTAACATGTACAATTAATATGTTAGCAAAAAAGAGTACCAAAAGCCAAAATTGATTCTACTGTCAAGTATAACACAAAAGAACCAATAAAAAATAAAACTGAACAGAACTTTAAAAAATATATGTAAAAATTGGAACCTTGGGGGGGGAAAATGTTACTTAAATGGAATCATATAATATGTGATCTAATGAAATTGGCTTCTTTCACACAAAATTCCTTGGAAATTCATCTAAGATGTTACATATTCAATAGTTTATTCCTTTTTTTTTTTTTTTTTTTTTGCTAAGTAGTATTCCATGACAAAGACTTACTATGTTACTTATTTTTCTGCAGTGCTGGAATGAACCAGGGCCTTATCCATGTAAGGAAAGTACTTTACCATTAAGCCACCTTCCCAGCCCACTATATTTATGTTAACTTGCTGAGACTGGCTTTACAATCATGATCCTCCTGTTTCAGCCTCCTAAGCCACAGGGATTACAGGCATGTGCCACTGTACCCAGTCTTATATTTATTTTAAATGGTTAGTAAATAACATTTTTTTGTAGTGCTGAGGCTTCTACCAAGGTCTGGTCCATGCTAGGAGAGTGCTCTGCCACTGAGCTACACCCCAACTCAGAAAACATTTTTAACAGCTCCATAATATTCCCATGGGTGAAAATGCCATGAATTTCCCAATTATTTCTTTATTGCTGAACTTGTAGGTTATTACTGTTAAAAATAAATGTACTGAATATCTTGTACACAAAGGGTTTCCTGATTTGTATTTTTTTTTTAAAGACAGATGTGTGTGTGTGTGTGTGTTGCTGGGGATTGAACCCAGGTCCTTGTTCATGTGAGACAAGCACTCTACCAACTGAGCCATATGCCCAGAACTCTTTAAGACAGACTTTAAATAATGGAATAACTCAGACAAAGTCTATTACCATTTTTTAGACTCCAATATAGGCTAGCAAATTAATTCTCCATAAGTTTGTAGAAATGTTCCACCAGTGTTCTGGAACAAACTGACCCCACTGTACGAGAACCAGCCCCAAGGTGCTGTGAGACTGAAGGAACAGATAGATCTAGGATTGCACAGAGTGCAAATATGGACAGAAGCATGGTCCTGGATAGAAGCAAGATGAGTGTATTCCTGCGATTTGTGTCAGAAGACAGGCTTATGAAGTTATCAGTGTAGTGGCACCTCCACCGCGCGACCAGCACGCTGGCTTCATACTAGAGGTTCGTAGCATAGAAGTTAACTAGTGAGATCAAAATAAACACACACAAACTCAAATTACCTTTTTCTTTGACCAGGTCTGAGACGGCTCCCTCCTCTGGCTCCTGCCTCGAGCCACCCAGTGGGGCAGAGAGATTTACACAGACTAGCAGGAGAGAGAGAGAGAGCACTCCAGAGAGTGGCCTTTTATTGGGGAACAAGAAATTCAGGGGAAAATTCCATCCAATGAAGGTCGAGGGGGACAGCATTCCAAGGTCAGGGTCAGTGATTGGTCTCAGGGTCAAGGGTCAGTCACACCCCCACAGGATGGGCTCTCACACCTAGAAAGGGTGGGGATTAGTACACAGTTTAGCCAGAACGCCTCACACCCAATCAGGGAGGTGCCCAATCACGTGCGAGAATGGCTTCCCACAGGCACCCCCTTCCTCCACAGAAAAGTCTTAACTGGATTCTCCAGAAATCTTCACCATGGCTGATTTTGGGGACTGTCAGCAAAAAGAGTCTCTGCAAATGAGTCCAAAGTAGATAAACTTCCTATTTTCGAGTCGCCCTGTTTACTTGGCCACTGGCCGGGAAGAAATCAGCACTCCAGGTGCTGGACACCCCCTTACTCATTTTTCACAAACATATCCAGTATAGTAGTTTGTAGAAATGTGTAAACAAGGCCTCTGGCCTTGAGCTGGGCTTCACAGAGATGTCTACATTTCTAAGATAAGAGAAATTACCACTTGGGCTCCATGGTCACAGCTGGCAGGGGGAGGAAAGAGAGGGGAGAAGAAGCTCTCCCCTTCTCAGGTGTTGTCCTTGAAGGGTTAACTTGCCCCAAAAACAGTAAAAGAAAAAGTTGCTTTTATGTGAACTTCTGCAGACTGTGCACTTCTGAGCCCCTCCCCTTACATGCTGGGTATAAAATTCTGAAACTACCCGAACTTGGGGTTCAGGGGATTGATTGATTACAGCAAAAACTGTGTCCTCTGAACCTGGCTACAGCCAAATAAAACTGTTTCCTGCTGTCTTGGGTGCCTTGCCTCGTCTGTCCCTACATCAGGTCAAAGTGACTTCATCCAAACTGGGATGTACCTGGTTGAGCTCTATCAAAACACACACACACACACACACACACACAAAAAAAAAAAAAAAAAAAAACAAAAAAACAGGCACATTTACTGTCCAATTGTAAAGTTCCACATCTCACTCTAATGGTTTTGTCTATTTTATAGTATACTGGGAAACCATGTGGAATAAAACTGACTTATTTGACTCAGGGGCAATCATGGTGGTTACATCTTTAAGATGGCTACAGTCGTGTTAAGCTGAATATACACTGTTTAAGTCAGCGTTTTGCTGCTGTGACTTAAAGACTTGACCAGAACAACTTTAAAAGAGGAAAAGTTTATTTGGGAGCTCATGGTTTCAGAGATCTCAATCCATAGACATCAGACTCCATTCCTCAGGGCTCAAGGTGAGGCTAAACATCATGGCAGAAGAGTGTGGCGGAGGGGAAGCAGCTCACATCATGATCAGGAAGCAGAGAGGGGGTTCCACTCTCCAGATCCAAAATATATACCCCACTGCCACACCCCACCAGCATCCAGCTACTACTCAGTTAGTCCCATCAAGGATTAATTCACTGATTAGGTGAAGGCTATAAAACAATCATTTCTCCTCCAAACCTTCTTGCATTGTCTCACATCACAACCAAATCATAACACACACAAAAAGCAATACAGAGGAAATGAAGAGATATTCCCAAATTACAAGTTACATCATAAATATATAGCTTGCATTCTACCAAAAACAATTCTCCATATTCATAGGAGAAACTATCATGTCTAAGATGTACTTGACCTGGGGATGTATGACCTAAGGTTATTTGGTATCATGCTGCACTCTTTGTGGCCAAATGATTGGAGGCAATCCGCTACACGGTACTTGCATGGTACAATGGTGGCCAGGAGATTTGACTTGTGTCTTCTCTGGATTTTTGTTGACTACCTCAATAGGCTGTATTAATTTGCTAGCATTGCTATGACAACATCTCACAAACTGGGTGATATAAAACAGTAGACTTGTATTTCCTCACAGTTCTGGAGGTGGAAGTCCAAGATCAAGGTGCTGGGTGGGGCTGGAGTCCTCAGACTTCTTTCCTGCCTTAGAGATGGCCATTTTCTCCATGTGTCCTCACGTGGTGTCTCTCTCTGCCTGTGTGCTTCTGCTGACTTCTTGTCCTTATCTCCTCCTAGGACACCAGTCAGATTGGAATCAAGCTTATGCTAAGGCTTCATTTTAACCTAATCACCTCTATAAAGACCCTATCTATAAATACAAATCACATTGTGAGGTGCTGAGGGTTAGGACCTTAACTTGTGAACTCTTTGCAGGGGGCAAAATTCAATCATAACAGAGACTTATTACTTCTAGAAAGGAAACAAAAATGAGAGAATCCAGAAAGTCCAGAATTGAAAAGACAAGTGATGTTTGGTGGATGCCACTGAGATTGGCTGTTTGGTCCATGCCATTGACATGTGGAACACACTAATGCAATACCCCTGTGAGCTTCATCTTCAAGATTAACCAACAGCTTAAATTAATCCAACTTATTGGGAAGCCTTGTTGTATTTTTAGTGATATAATAACTAAATTCAGAATAAAAACGGAATTCTAAAAGCATCTCATCCATACAGTACAAAGATCTCTGACACAGACATTCCTTCTTATATGGGCAATAGAAAACTTCTGGCCAAAGAGCTAATGTTTGATGGGCATGTATCCTATGTCATAAGGAACTCTCATAACAGGACATATTTGTAGATCTGGCTCAGGAAAGTGCAATAAGATTCAACCTGGAGCCAGCTGGGATGAATGACCAACACTATAGGCAACCAAATCCAGAGCCAAACCTGGGAGAGCCTGGGTTCTTGACTGTGGAGATGATCTTTACGATGGCTACGGTCGTGTTAAACTGAATATACACTGTTTAATCAGCTTTTTTTCTGCTGTGACTTAAAGACCTGACCAGAACAACTTTAAAAGAGGAAAAGTTTATTTGGGAGCTCATGGTTTCAGAGATCTCAATCCATAGACAGCAGACTCCATTCCTCAGGGCTCAAGGTGAGGCTAAACATCCTGGCAGAAGAGTGTGGCGGAAGGGAAGCAGCTTACATCAGGATCAGAAAGCAGAGAAGGGGCTCCACTCTCCAGATCCAAAACATATACCCCACTGCCATGCCTCACCTGCCTCCAAACCATCTGCTATGGTTACAATATCTCATGTGTTAGAAACTTAATCCCCAAATTCATACATTAATGAATTTGAGATGGAGTCTTTGGGAGGACATTTGAATTAGATATGATCAAGGGGATGGGGCCCCATGAGGGCATTAGTAGCTTAATAGGAAGAGGAAGAGATGTGTTAGGATGCAGCAAGAGGCCCTTACCATAGGCTGAGCAGTGCTGGTGCCATGCTTTTCCCAGCCCAGTCTGTTGTATTCAGTTATAGCAGCAGAAAATGGACTAAGAAACCATCTTTGCTTTAAGAGGCAATGGTTTTCAACAGAGCTGAGCATCTTCCTTGTTAGCTCAGGAGATCCACTGGGACCTAGGAGGAGGAAGTTGTAAATGAGGAGTTAGGCTTGATGGTTCTGCGGATAGCATTCACCATGACATGCTTCACTGAAGATCAGCTATGTAGGTAGACTGCAGGGAGCAAAGGTTAAACAGCAGGACAAATGAGTCCATCAACATATGTGACCAGCTCAATTTCATCTTCCCCTGCTGTTAAGGTATAGAACTGTAAAAATCAGCAACCAAACATGCTTAGCATTACTTGGACCCATACTTAAAGTCAAGGTAGCCCCAGTCCCTCTGAAGCGGCTGGGTTTTATACCATGTTACAAACATCTCACAAAGCCCTGTAAGAGCTGGCAAAACAAATGTAGTCCCATGAAATCAGGAACCTAATTATAGGAAGTATAGAACAAAAAACACTCTTAGAATGGGAGAAAATATCATGATACTTATATCTGACAGAGGAGTCATATCTAGAATAAAAATACTCCCACAAATCAGTAAGAGACAAGATAAAAAGAAGAATGAACAAAAGATTGTAACGGGAACTATGCAAAAGAAAATACCCAATGTTCAATATCATGTGAATAAGTGTCAACTTTGAGGGAAGGGAAAATTAAAAGCATAATGTGATACCAGTATACATCTGAAACTAGAATGGTTACAAAGAAAAGCATTAATTATTGGTGACTATGTGGACCAATCAGTATTCTCATGTATTGCTGGGAGAAGTATAAATCGGTACAGTATCTTTGGAAAAATATTTGCCAGTGCTTACTGAAGCAGAACATGCATGCATATATCCAATGATCTAGCAGTTCTACTCCTGGGTATATGGCCAAGAAAAAATGCTTATGTCTACAAAAAGATTTCCTTGAATGCTTGTAGCTAGCTCCTCCACTCATCAGAGCCCCAAATTGGAAACTACCTAAATGCTCATCAACAATAAAATGGGTAAATAAATTCTTGTATATTCACACAATGAACTTCTGTATCAATTATACCACAAACTAAGTGGTTTAAATTTATATATGTTCTTTCATAGCTCTGGAGGCTAGAAGTCTGAAATCAAGGTATCAGGGCCAAGGTTATTCTTTAGGAATCTAGAGGGCAATCCTTCCTTGGCCCTTTGTGTGTGTGTGTGTGTGTGTGTGTGTGTGTGTCTCGCTGGGCAATGAGCGCAGGGCATCACAAATGCTAGGCAAGCACTCTATTACTGAGCTTACCAACAATCTCCCTTCCTTGACTCTTCCAGCTTCTTGTAACCCAGGTGTTCCTTGCTTATAGCAGCACCACTCTAATCTTGGCCTGTCACCACGTGGCCATCTCCCCATGTGTAACTGTGGTATGAGCTGTCTGTTCTGTTGTCTTCTTTACTTTTGTTTTGAACTTCCTGAAATACTTGCAGCCAAAGGAAGAGACAATAAAATTTTTTTCTTGCTTCATATCAAAATTACTGCTTACACTTCAAGCTACCCTTAGAAGGGAAATCCATTGTTATTAACATCCAGGAAAGAGAAATGGTGGAAGGAAAGCATGAGAATTTCTACAAAAAGATGAAAACAGAATTAAATCCATTTAAGAATCTGGACACACCCAGAGATAAAGTCCTTAAATAGCAAAATGCTTAAGCTATCTTTCAGGAAAATCCTACAGACTCCACTTAGCGATCATATGAAACAGTCTTTTCAAGAACGGATATATGCAAAGTAGATCCTCTGATCAATGACCTTTAGAATGTCATGTCCCAGGCTTAAAGTTCCCAGAGCAGAACATGTTACCTCCCCCCCATTAGAAACATTTGATCTGTAAAGAGGCATGAAAACCACCTGTGCCTGCATAAAAGAACCCTCAAACTCCCTTTCATGCCATTCAATCAATAAGCAACTTCCCCCCTCTCCCCTCCTGTAAATTTGCTACTAGCAACTGACTGGGGAGGCAAATTTAGGCTTCTACTAGCTCTTTGTCTGTGACAGTGCAATAAAACCTTTTCTTTTCTTTTTTGAGATGGAGTTTATATGTTGTCCAGACTGGAATCGAACTCATGATTCTCCTGTCACAGCGACTATAGCTTTCTGACCCACGTCTAATTTAAACCATTTTCTTTTTGCAAAACTTAGTACTGATTTCTGTGCATATTACACAGTGGGTCCTTATTCCATATCAGAAGGATAAAGCAAACATCAGGCAATATTTTAGCTTACATGTGAAAGGCAAATGTCTACCAATCTCAGCTACCTGCAACTCAGCAAGGAAGAAGAGAACCTATTAGTCTTCAGGACTGCACATAAACTGCACCTGGGAACCGTTTCCGGGTTTTCAATACCCGATTCATAATCCCCAGGGGTGGGGCAAGGAACTAGTGTTAAAGGGGCTCTGAGGGTTTCTAAAGCTCAAACAAGCCAAGAATGAGCGCCCTACTGGCGAAGTAAAAAGTGGCGCAACAAACAATTTTGTAAACGAATACTTCTTGAAAAGATTTTCTCGGGAAATCTTATTAAAATAACCATGTAAAAAGGCTCATTTGCAACGTTCCTTTTCTGCAACAAGAAATGTAAGACCGGGAATTAATTCTGGTTATGACAAATGTGTTAGCGTCTTTAGTTATTTGCATTTACAATAATTTTACCACGGATGTAATTGAGAAAACTAGCACCTAAGACGCATTTCACAAAAAACAATGTAGCCAAAATTTACTGAGTACGTCAGGCGCCAAAACCCACCGAGGCTGCCAGTTGTGTTGCAATGAGATGGACAGTTACCCTAGGGACCTGTAGGACTGCACTTACGATGCGAGGCTACATCGTGTACGAACAGAGGAATGAAATGTTGTATTAAAATTATGTTCAACGAATCTGCTGTTCATTGTCATATATACGTTCTGCTGTCATATATACCTAATCAAAATTAATTAATGAATTAATTTTAAAAATTAAAAAAATAAAAAGACCCCGCAAAAAAACTGCAGAGCCCCGCCTCGCTGCGCCAGCCCCTCCCTCCCTCTGGCCCCGCCTCAACTTCCGCCCTGTCGCCCCGCCCACCCGCGTCTCCGGATGCTGCTTGGCCCGGCTCCATCAGCCTCTCTTTCGCTGGGCGCTTGGCCATCTTCCTCGCGGCCATCCAGCTTCCTTGGCGTGTTTTGTTTGCGACGCTGTCGTGTAACAGCGCGCTTTACGGTCGCGGGGACGGAGCGAGCCGGTGCCAGGGCCACTCGGGCCGGGAAGCAGGGAAGGCGAGCGAGGTTGATGCCCGGCGGCGGGGCAAGCGCGGCGTCTGGCCGGCTTCTCACCGCGGCGGAGCAAAGGGGAGCCCGGGAAGCATCGACGTTCAGGAGCGGCCCGGGGGGCTCCGGTGGCGGCGGCGGCAGCGGCAGAGGCGGAGCAGGCGGCCCCGGGCCGGGCAGCGGAGGCCCCGGCGGCCCCGCGGGCAGGATGAGCCTGACCCCGAAGGAGCTCTCGAGCCTGCTGAGCATCATCTCTGAGGAGGCGGGCGGCGGCAGCACCTTCGAGGGCCTGTCCACCGCCTTCCACCACTACTTCAGCAAGGCCGACCACTTCCGCCTGGGCTCGGTGTTGGTGATGCTGCTGCAGCAGCCAGACCTGCTGCCCAGCGCGGCGCAGCGCCTCACCGCGCTTTACCTGCTCTGGGAGATGTACCGCACCGAGCCGCTCGCAGCCAACCCCTTCGCCGCCAGCTTCGCGCACCTCCTCAACCCCTCGCCGCCCGCCCGCGGCGGCCAGGAGCCCGACCGGCCGCCGCTCTCAGGTACCTCCCGGAGCCGGATGGGCGGTGCGGAGAGTTAGACTGGGCAGCTTCCCGTCTGCGCTTCTGGAGCCCGCCCAGAGGGAAATAAAGCCCCTTTTGGAAATGATCAACCCCCAACCACTAGAGTAGGAATTCAGGTGGTAGCCGGATTACAAATTCATTACGAATTCATGGCACCGAGGATTATTTGTCTCATCCGTACAGGCCATCCAGTCATTCAGGTCCTTAAATAAGGTTCATCTTTCTAAAGGCCGTCCGGAGATGTGTATAATTAAACCTGTAGTGACACAATGGATCTGTCCCCGTTTGTGAGTCTCAGAGGAGTAAACAAGTCAATATTAAGAACCCGAAAAAGTTGTTGAACGAAAATACACATTAAGCAGCATGTAAGGACCTTACAGCTGCCTTCCTTGGACTGCTATGATGTGGTGAGGGTAGAGGATAGAAGGTTGTCTCAAGTTTACGGGCTTTGTTACAAAACGCAGGTTTTGCATTATGTAGAAAGTATGCTTGTGCAGCATTGGTTAGATGAGACGTAGGTTAGGTGCCAGGCTGCATTTTTAAATTTCTGCGGTACTGGGGATCAAACCCAGGGCTTCATGCAGGCTAAGGAAACAAGGTGTTCTTGCTTGCAGCCTTTCTGAATCTAAAACATTTTTGGATGCCTTCCTGCACTATCCTCATCTAAGAAGGGCAGCCTTTGTGTTGGGGAAGTTTGTGACTGCCCAGAAAGTGAATGCCACATCAGAATGTTTGTAATGGGGAATGGGGACAGTGTGGGATTTAGGTCAGAAACCCTTTGAATTCTGAAGGGTGTGTTATGTAAAACCCCATCCTCAAATACATGTCTAAACCTACACCTTGTTCCTACACTGCATTGTAAACAGGAGGGGAGGTAGTTGCCAGGAAAGGAATCCCCAGGATGTAATCTCCATGGCTCAGTTTTCTCATCAATAAAATTCAGATTCTAATAATTCCTAACTGGTAGTGTAGTTATGAAGAATAAAAGTACCTGTGAAAAGTATTACTCGTTATTGTCACTAATATATTTTTTTGAGATGGATCTGAAACTCTGGATTTTTTTGCCTCAGCATCCTCAGTAGTTGGAATCACAAGTGTGCATTACAGCACGTACCTATTGTTATCTTTATTCAAATAGGTAGGGATAATGCTTAAATTACACAGAAGAGGAAATGTTATTACCAGAGCTCCAGTCTTAGTGCTTCTCTTGTACATTTAGGGTAAGCATCTAATGGGCATAGTTTTAAAAAAGTTAAAAATCTTTTCAAATGATTTTGAGGTAGGACAGACAATGTATTTGGAAGTAAGAAGGATGGCTTCCCAAAATCAACAAATTTGCAGTCTGGTTGGGAGAACATAAAGACAGGTCAATAACAGCATGTACTAGGTGTCAAAAAAAAAAAAAAAAGATGCAAGTAGCACAAAGAAACCACCTTCAGAACTGGAAAGATTCCCAGAGGAAAAGTGTGATATCTTTGCTGTATGTTAATTAGGGATGCAGGTAGAAGGGAAGAATGTGGTCCTGCCAGGTTATTGTTAAAGAATTAGGTCTATACAGAGAAGCTGAAATTTTGTCTACCTGGAGTAGGTTACATGAATGGGAGGGTAATCAAGAGGTAAGATTAGGAAGGTGGGTGGTGACTAGTTTATGAAGTGTTTTATAATGATGTAGAAGTTTGGGGTTAATTTTATGTATGTGAACTGGTCAAGTACTATGATAGATTTGTATTCTAGAAATAGAATTAAATGGCAAGGTGGGGCATGAATGGTGGATTAACAGGGGTCAAAACTGGGATGGTGCAAGGTTGACTGAAGCCAATAAAGAAGAGAATTATAGAAAATTGGGAGCTAAGGAAATCAGACAGACTGTCCTGTAGTTCAGGCAAGAGAGGGGGGACTGGAGCTGAGGGAATGCAGACTGGGGACATTGTAAGATATCAATAGTTGATAGATAAGGCTTGGGGAGCAGTTGAATATGGACAAAAGAGAACCTTCAGTCTTGTGGAGATGGTAAAGTTGCACTGTATACTGAAGCAGGTATGTTGCTACTGATGAATTTGCTTCCCCTGTCTCTTTAGCTTCTGCACAGTCAGTCTTAGAAAGCACTTCAGAACATTATAGTTTTTATATTTGTTTTTGTTTGCATATATAAGCTTTGGTCTTTGCAGGAATTGAGGGATTTAGAAAGCAAAGTTCTTAATAGATACAGAAATATATTTTTTTCATAATAGTACCACAAATCATAGAATTTCCAGAGGCTTAACTAATTACAGAGTTCACAGAGGTATATATTTCATTAACCTAAATTCAGTTATAATTTAGTTTATAAAAATTTGTAGGTTGCAGTGACAAGTAGCAAATACTAATTTTACTGGATCTGTTACTTTTTAAAAGTAACCATCAGAGAAATCATTGTACATCTTTGTTTACAGGATTTTTACCTCCTATAACTCCGCCAGAAAAGTTTTTTCTTTCCCAGCTCATGCTGGCACCCCCAAGGGAACTCTTCAAAAAGACACCTCGCCAGATCGCTTTGATGGATGTCGGAAACATGGGCCAGTCTGTGGACATTAGTGGGCTTCAGTTAGCCTTGGCTGGTAAGGAAGAATTGGAAGTTTGAGCATTTTTGTCTGTTTTTGAGATATTCTACTTAAAACAAAGGTCTTTGTAATCTTCATTGTGAAAGGGTTAGTTACCTTTCATTTTAAAGTAGTTTCAGTACTGGATTCTAAATATATGCCTTCGATCATCTATCCATTCTCCCGCAATGTAAAAAGAAGCAAGCATACCTTGTTGTTTTAGAGCTAGCTACACAGATCATCTCTGCAGTCTTGAAGTAGAGATGTTTTTCAGTAGGATCTATAGAGCAAAGGTGTTATTTGTGGATGATGCAGGGTATTTTTTTCTTCTTACTACTAGGAATTGAACCCAGGGTTCCTCTACCTCTGAGCTATATCCACTAATTCTTTTTAAATTTTATTTTGAGACAGTCTCACTAAGTTGCTCAGGTGGACCTCAAACTTGCAAGCCTCCTGCCTTAGCCTCCCTAGTAGCTGGGATTACAGGCTTGCATGTGCCACCACACCCAGCAGTTTGTGCTTTCTTAATTTAGGGGGGAAAAAAAGCAGGCAAGTTAAACATTAGTGACTACAAAGAGAAGATTTACCCTTTAACAATGACAGTGTTCATTAAATAAATTTTATTAAAAACCCACCAATTAGTTGACAATTTGCCAACTGAAAAATTTTTTCTTACATCTTGAACAATAGCCTGTTTTCTAATAACTTTTTGTACTTCTGTAATTTGGATTAAAAAAAATGCATCAGGATAATTTTGTTAGCATTTTTCTTATTAAGGAGACAATTGGGTCATGTCTAAGGCTTTTTTTTGGGGGGGGGGCGGTACTGGAGAGTGAATCCAGGGGCACTGGACCACTGAGCTTTGAACTCATAATCCTCCTGCTTCAGCCTCCCAAGCTGCTGGGATTACAGGCATGCGCCACCATGCCCAGCTGATAAAATTGAAATGTGGGAATTTAAAAAAAATATTTTGTGTATGTATATACACACACTCACATATAATCTGGCCATTTTTTTTTTTTTTATGTTGTAAAAAGCAAGTAGCTTTACCCCTTAGTAGCTTGTCCTTTCACTCTTCCTCGTGATGTCCTCAATTTTTAAACATCTCACATTTTAACCTCTTTCAGAACGCCAGTCTGAACTGCCAACTCAAAGTAAAGCCAGCTTCCCCAGTATTCTCAGTGATCCAGACCCGGATTCTTCTAATTCTGGATTTGACAGCTCAGTTGCCTCCCGGATCACAGAATCTTTAGTCAGTGGACCAAAACCACCTATTGAAAGTAGGTATATAGAGATTAATTTTATACTCTTGGTTTTATTTTATCAGCATTCACTGAAACTTTTCAGGTTTTTGAGACATCTTGTTATTTTCATTACTACTTTAACTTTAGTTTAATATAAAACTTCTAGGAAAATATCTATAGAGAGTTCAGTGAAATTAGTTTCTTCTTTAAAAAAGTTACATACAGTTTGATTTACATATCTTACATCTTGAAGATATAAATTCTCTGATTTTACTGAAATCAGTCTATTTATTACCATTACCTTCTCCACTTTAAAGTTTTACTGATTTTACAGCTCTTAATTTACTTTAATTCAAAGGAAGCACTTACTGAATTTGAAGTAATATAGCTGCACCTTTTGGTTTGACAGGCTTCCATGTTTGAGTGATGAAGGCATGTTTTCTGCTTCGGGATAGGAACATATTCTCCAGATTACAGTGCCACCATTAGTTTGAAACTTACACTGACTTGTCATACCATTTGGTTTACAGTATATATTTGGCATAAGTGGGTTTAATATTTGAAGTTTTATCTAGTCACAAGTGGACCTAAAGATCCATGCCACATAATGATTTATGTGTAGTATTTGCTCAGGCACAACTTTGAATTGGATGAGCCTCCAGGACGGTATCTGAAGAGCACATCACTCATAATAAGTGAGTCCGACCACTCACCAGGCATTTCTTCTTCACATAAGTAGCACTTCTCATGAAGTGTTAGACTGTTTATTTTCATAAGTGGTCCGAAGAGGGATTCAGATACCAGTCCTTGGGCAGCAAGTGATGGAATGGTGGAGATGTGTGTCAATTTTGTAGCCAGAAAATAGTCTTTGGCAACAAACTGGATAGCATAATCCCCAATTTGATAGGGACTAGGATGCATAAGAGAATAAGCCACCTTTGCCCTATGGGAAAACCAAAGAGATGTGTGACATAGGTTCAGCAGAAATCTAGCCAGAGTTTATTTTAGTGAGTGTATAACTTACAGGTCTACCTGTTTTATAAAATAGTTAAATATACTCAGTTCATTTTCCTGTTTTATGAAATGGAAATGG